ATAAATCTTTTAACCCTCTCAGTGGTTGTTGTTGTTGTTTGCGATCCCGCCTCTGGTTCTTGACATATCCGGGGGAGATTCAGAGTAGAACCGCTGCTCCTACACATCAAGAGGAGCAGTTGAAGTGGTTCGGGCATCTGGTAAGGATGCTCCCTGGGTGCCTCTCTTGGGATGTGCTTTGGGCTTGTTCAGCTGGGAGGAGACCCCAGGGAAGACCCAGGACATGCTGAAGAGACTGTCTCTTGGCTGGCCTGGGATTACCTTGGAATCCTCCCAGAAGAGCTGGAAGAAGTGGCTTTGGAAAGAGATGTCTTGGCCTCCCCGCTCAAGCTGCTGCCCCCGCGACTCAACTTCAGAACAAGCAGAAGATAATGGATGGATGGAAAGTGGATTACAGGACATTGAATGGATGAGCTTCCCTTGGGGTTAAATATTAATTGTTTTATTATTTTAGACCTACTGTTGCCCCTGTAATCTGTGTTGTGTTGTATCAATCAGAAGACAAAACTATTGAAGATTTATGTTGCACCATATGTACCTACTAAAACACAGAAATTATAATAATTTCACTATGAAGCTGTGCAGAAAATTTGCAGTCAAATCACCCAAATTGAATTTACAGATTCAAGTTTGAACAGCTTCTTAGAGAGTCAATTTAGCAATTTTTTTTTGATTAACAACAAACATAATAAAATGAATTGGCTAGATAAGTCTTTGAAACAATAAAAATATGAGGCTTCTTCTTTATTTCAGATAGGTTTATATTCAATAATTTAATATGGAATATGATTAACCGCAATGATGTTACTGAAGTGTCTGATCAAGTCTGACCTCACAAATCATGCATCTGCAAATGCTTTAAATCAATCACAACTACTTTATACAAAGGTTCAATATTTTTAAGGCAAAAATGGATAACATTGGCTAAACAAAAGGATATGTACCATACAACCTTTCTTGAATCACAGTGGCTGCTTTTGACCACCAAGCCAGCATAGCAAACAGTAGAGCGTTATGTAAATTACAGCCATTGAAAGCTGAAATGTGCACAAGGCCACATTATCTTCATGACATAATAGTAGTATTGAGAGGACATTATTCCATCAAAAGCCTGCAGCTGCTGGGTGGGTTTAAAAGCCAGGCAATTTCCTTCTTTCAACAAAGGAACAAAATCCATTGACACCGCATACCTAAAGGTAATTAGTTAGCACAAAAACTGGTCAACTAATCATAAACTAACCTATTTATATTTTACCTGTATGTCAATGAAAACATTGTTAGTTATTTTTATCATGCCATGAAAAATGTAAAAGTGTAAAAAATGGGATATTGCAAGAAACTGACAAGCACCTTGAAGGCTTGCAAGGGCATGTAAGCATATATTACCTATGTTGTCTGGCAGATTTTAGCTTTTTTTTCCTCAGTGAAACTCCTCACCATTTAGTAAAGGTGGTGAACTTGACATCATTAGTAATACTATAACTATATAAAGGAGTAATGGCATTTTTAAAATGAGGGTTGCTGCCAGTGCTAATTTTATCTGTGATTAACTGGTGTGCTTTACACCAGCATGACAGCTGTGAAATGTATACCTCACTGAAAGGCATACAGTGCAAAATATTTCACAACCCACACTGCCACTGATCTTGCATTTGATCACCCACTTAACCTCCTTCCTCCTACAAAGTCACAACACCCACAACCTTCATTCGTCACTGTTGAGTTTAGGTTTGAGTTGCTGACCTGTGCTCTCTGTGGCATCCAGACTGTCTGCTAGCTGCTCCAGGAGGCGTGCCCTGGCTGCGTTCCTGCTGTGTTTCTTCCCGTCGTAGTGCTGCTGGGCCATAAGTGGGTTGTTGAACCAGGCTCCACACAGACAGCAATACTTCCCAGCCTCTCTGCCACCATTCCCACTGATCTCTGATGAGGGCCAGGATAAGGCAGGGGGAGGAGGTGGGCATGCCGAGGGGTCTGAGGTCAGCGGGGTGGAAGGTGAGGAATCTGAGGGATGAAGTGATAAGATAGAGCAAAGCAGGCGGTGCAGGGTAAAAGAATCAGGAAGGGAAGCGAGGGGAAGAAAAGGGAGAGTAAAGCTGGATATTAATGTTAATTCAAATGCAAATTGAGGTCTAATGAAAAAATGACATAGAATGAAAATATTTTCATGAAATTATTACATTGATATGAAAATGTGATTCATTCACAGAAAACCCCACATTTTGATTCTAACAGTTTGATGAAACCTCACAGGCTGACCTGTTCTTACACTGAAAGGCTCTAAACTTAATGTCTAGATTATACTCATCAAGACCGCCTGCAAATAAATCACTGTCATATCTGTGGAAATCAGATGAGATGCAGAAAGAGGCCCTGTGCGCCCAGGTTTCAGTCTGAAAGAGCTGGCTTTCTGCTCTCATCTATACTACGCAGCTGGACCTTTCTATTTCATCTTTTTTCAATGTCCCCCTCTTCTCTCCTCTGAGGGAATGAAAAAAGGGAGATGGCAGACTTCCAGGTGACCTGCTACTCATGATATGACACTGGTTACCATGGTGATTGCCCATTAATAGCAAATGGGCACTGATGTGTCCACAGGACGTAGTTGTGGCTCTCGCAGTGACGACTACGCAAGTGTGTGTCTCTGCATGTGTGTGAATGTGGGTGTTTGGGTGGCTGACTGAATGTGTAATCCCATGAGAAAATGTGAGCGCACATGTGCAAGAATGGAGTCCCTGAACAGGCTGCTTGCACGCATAGGCAACATGGACCAAAAAAAATCATCTAGGGAGAGCGTGAGGTTGGGGGGGATGGGGGTGGGGGTGTCTATAGCCAGATTGTGTGAGAATGCTTATGATGCCAGATGGTAAGTTCAAATGTGCCAATTCACCCTCCACAATGTGTCAATAACTGTAGAGTCCTGCTGACTGACCACCCTGTTGCAAAGCCACACCTTAAATCACAAACACAAGCCCACTCTCATGTGCTTTCAAGTGAAAATGAGTCACAATGCCCTTTTCACATCAGCCACCAGCTCCTGACTAGCAGATGAAGAGCGTGCATGAATATCTGACCAGTGGACATGAAGTGGTGATATTTGGGAGCGAGCTTATCTTTAGCTTGTGGGCCTGTGTTGACCTAACTCAAAACCTGTGAGCTGATTGGCTGCTTTTACCTTATACCTCTGTTCACATAGTTACTGTAGCTATGGCTGTGTCTCTGCTCATCGCACCCACCACACCCACTCACATTTCTTTTTGCCATGCCACTTCATCTCCTCAGTTACAAAACTCAACCCCGTCTAACACTCATTTCTTTCATTTTTTATTAACCTGCAAGACAAGGCGGTCATCAAACCTGTGGTGGATATTTGTGTGTGCCCATGCATGATAGAAGCTCCTCAGCTCCGACAGGGATTTCTCTTCTCCATCCCTTGTTTTCGCACAATTTCTACTTTTCTGACTGTGATCTGTGCACAGTGGAGCAGAAATAAGTGTTTTTCATAGAGAGGGGCACAGCGAGTGTGTGCGTAGTAAGAAGGAAGTGTTGGTTTGAAGTATGAGTTGGGCTAAGATGTACTCAGGGGAGGAAAGTAAAGTTCAGGCAAGGAAACCACAGTACAGCATTTTCTCTGTACCTTTTTGGGTGTTTGCCAACATATGTGAGCACTGTTTTATCTTTCTTCAGTGTATGTTAGTGTCTGTCTTAACTGAGAGGCAAGTGAATGCATCAGTCATTTTGACTGTGTGTGTGTGTGTTTAGCTGTCCATGTGCGCCCAAGCCTGTCAACTTGGCTGTGCATCTTTGGGTGAGCGCTAGTCTCAGAGAGCTCACAAAGGCAAGCTTTGACTTTAATCTCTCCTGAAATTCTCTTCTTCTTTCCCAGGTCACTCTTCCTCTCTTCTAGTGCTTATTTTCTTGCATCTTTTCCTCCAGGTCCTGCTGTCATAAAAACACGAAAGTCCACAGCAGCCGTGGTACAGAAGTGACAGTTTTTTCCAAAGTAGGACAAAGTTTAACGAAAGTCATTCACGGGTTTGATTGTAACGTTCGTTTTGCAGCAGTTGTGAGCTTGGAGCTCTGTGAATTTTCTCTTTTCAATCCAATTTGTGTCCCTTTATGAAAAGCTTCCACGGAGGCAACACACACTTAAGAAAATGCTACTCAAACAGCCAAGAGCATAGCACAACCGGTGGTGGCTTTTTGGGGCAAAACAAAACATTCTTTTTAGTCTTTGACATTTTTAAAAGAAAAATTGACAGCATGCTTCTTTAAAGCATTACATTTGGAACCTCTGAATAAGTAAGAGCTTTTCAGACCCTTTTCCCTTTATCCTCAGGCTGGAAGTTTTGACTGAATCATGTAAAAACTTCACGTCCAAAGGCCTTGAGCTATGAAACTTTTTGCTGTTCTTGCAAAAATCAGAATGTTTTTGTGTAGTCTGAAGTAAAATAGCTCATGAACCATGGATTTTAAACAAACTTGCAGACAGTAATCATGAGCATTACATCAATAGACAGGCTGCACAGAAGACTGTGGGGAGCAGCCTTCCAACCACCTCGGACACCTACACTTAACGATGCAGGGGGAGGGCTCTCCACATCATGAAGGACTCCACTCATCCAGCACACATTCTGTTTCAGCCTCTCCCCTCAAGCAGGCGGCTGAGGAGCATTCAGAGCAAGAACACCAGGCTCACAAACAGTTTCTTCCCTGCAGCTATCAGACTGCTGAGCTCGAGCTGCACTTAATTCAGCTTCATCTTACTTTTTTTTAAAAACTTTATTATATATATATATATATATATAT